AAATCCAGACTTCAAGCTGCGGCAATTAAATCAACCGTTCATTTCGGTAGAACTTTCAAGGTAAGACAAACATCATAGCGCACGTCTTGGACGTCATGAGTTTTAGAGTTGTTTAGTCTCATGGTTGGAACATCTCAGACCTTGAACCTAGCCAGGAAGATTGTCCAGCACTTTTGCCATCTCCGGCTCGGATTTATCATCCCTGTTAGTTACTTCCACTCTCTTGTTGTGCCTCTTCCGAATTTATCCTGCGGCCGCGGGGTGCCTAGTCTACATCTCTGCAAGGGGTGCCTCCCCCGACCTAGAACAGGCACATTCATGTGTTTAGTCTACGGTTGCTGAAAGCCACATGTACAAGCATTCCAGATAAATTGCCAGAAGCAATGTTCGGAGCAGAGTTCATTCCGAATCCGGACCGTCCACTGAACCCATTCCCACTCGGCTGGCGTAAGCAGGTGGTTCTAAATGGAAATCCGGCAAACTATTCTATGATTACCAATAAGCGAGTCCGAGGGAAAAGCACAAGCCTACATTAACCGAAACCTCTGCCGTCTTGTTCTGGCAGCAAGCTGAACTGCGCAGAACTTGTTGTTGAAAGTGATGTGGATCAGTTGACAGGACTTCCACATCCTCGCCCACGCTCATGATACGTAAACACGACGCAAAAGAGCAGTTATAACACTGCATCTAAAGCAAAGAGTGACCTCCACAAAAACAAGACAGCATCACAGATTCAAAGGACCTGTGATACTAGTGAACGACTCTCGTGACCCGCTTGTGCTAGGAAAACCACAACAACGGCTCGCATAGGATATTCACGAACCGGAGACAAGAATGTCTCATTGTGTCGCCGACTCAGACGTACAGTGCGTGGCACTGGCAGTCAGGCTACGCTCTGCCACCGAAAGAGCTGGGCTGCGAACAAACGCGGGGATGGTGCTTCCAACGCATACACCAACAGGGCTCACATCTGAACTGAACACATCGCGTGCACTTCTTCCACCAACACGCTGCAGGCACTGACCCTCACTCACTGATCTTCGAAACCGAACAAACACATGATGCTTAGTATGACTTATACATGCACGGCGCATGCGAGAAAAGTGGCAACAAACCACGACGTCTGAGAAATGTGGGAAGCGCCGATTACAACGAACATCAAAGAAAGAATCTAATTAACTCGTTGGAAGGAAGGACTAAGGAAACCTCCCGAACATGTGAACCTTTCGGCAACAGTCTGCATTTTTTGCGAGTCGGAAAGAACTATCGTGTCATGCAAGTCAGCTTTGCAAGTTTCATCTTCGCTGCCCTCCACCCAAATTCGCAAGAGGCCGAGCACCGAGCTGCAACATGTCTGGACTTGAAAGAGCTGCACCTGCAAAGGAAAGCATTCGAGATCGAGAAGTGTGGAAAGCAAAGTTTGAAGCATCAGTCGCCGCAGCCTTTCCCAAAGTGTGACCAGCTCAGCAGGAGTAGGCTCGACGCGAGCGGCATGACAGTCCTGTTCTCGCGCCAGACATGAGGTGCATCAAGGTCAATCACCAAACGTACAGGCTGTCTTGTCGTCCCCTCAACAAGCCATTGCGGTGCCCTCCGAAGCCTGACTCGGACGAAGCGTTTTCGCCTCGAGTAGCTGGGACTAAGACACCTGGATCGGGTCCTGGCAAAAGTCTTCAATGACGACCTTCGGCCAAACTGCTCGGTTCTGCCACATGGCGTGTCAATGGTTTCTGACTGTAGGCCCCAGGGTTTTCACGAGCGGCTCGTCGAAGAGATCCACTAAGTTGGAGAAAGAACAGGAATGGATCCCTCCCTCCTGGTTGCATGTTGACACATCCATGCACTAAGTCTTGAAGTGACGGTGAGGTGGCGAAGCGCAACGCAGAACAGCGGTCCATGGACACAGCACTCCTGCAAAAGCCTGACGCTCAACACACGAGATGTGGCGAAAGCTTGTCGCTGTGCACCGACCAGCAGTGACCAATTCTGCCCGAGAAGTGACGGCCAGTGTGATATAGCGTGATTAGCTTTGGGGGCAGAATGTCTGCTGCACCGGGGCTCAAGCCCGGGCTTCTTCCACGTTCTTCCTGGTGCGCCTGGACGGCTTTTTTTGCACCTGGCCGACGCTTCACATTCACAGCATTGGCTTTCTTAAGTTTCGGGGCAACTGCCGCCACCCTGCCGACGGAAAAGCAGCGCTGGGTCTCTAATTAGGTCAGCCAGAGCAGGTCATCACGACATGCTTTTGAGGCAGAGCCCCTCTCTCCCTTTGCTGGCGCAGGGCCTCTGAGCTTTTTCCATACACGACCGCACTCAACCTGAGCAAACGTGTCATGAGCTGACCTAATCGCGATGAATCACGCCGCGCCATACAACGCCTATCGACTCTCAAGCAGCAGCTCGAAGCTGGCTTAAACCTCGTCAAATGCAGCCACTGACTGAGGCCCCAACTCCTCCATCCAAGATGTGAAGAGGCCATTGGACAGGTACCCTTGCCTCCCAGAAGAGTTGGAGATGAATGCCTTCTGTAGGGGACGAAAGCTTCACCCAACACAAAGCAAAACGTCGTGGGATGCAGTGGGATCTAGTCTTGGAGGTCGAATAGCCACGACGGCACCATCCCGCCAGGAAAGCTTGACTGGTCCGGACCAATCCGGATCACCCAGGCATGACCTTCAAAGACCCGTGCTTTTTGGGTGCCGAAACTCCATCGGCGCCAGCGGGAAGCAAGCAGCCCTTCAGAGAGTCGATTGCCTTCTCCATCAAATGCCTTTCAATTGTGACTTTATATTATATATATATATATAATATATCGCTGCAACACAGCCGGAAGACCTCGTCTGCAAAAAAAATGCCATGAAATTTGCTAGCTGCTTGTGAGGACAAGCTCGCTGCTTGCCTCGCTATGTCCGAAGACCCATCCGCCAGACCAACTTGCGCGGACCGTGACGGCTAGCGACCGTCGAGGTCCCCGAACTTGCGTTAAACATCCTTCAGCACGACTTCTGTATGACTCTACGTCGTCAAGCACGGGAAAAGCAAGCTCTCTTCGATGGCACGGCCTGACCGCACGACCCGCCATGAGGCGAGGCACAGAAAGCTGCTTTTCTGCACCTTGGCTGCGAGCTTCACGCGTGAGGGCATGCATAGACTAATAGAGTATTAGTCAGCGGCGTGGCATGCATCAAAGGCACCTGCAGAACTCCGACTTCTGCGGAGCAAATCGGGCTCTGCCCCACAGGAAAGGGTGATGTTGGGCAGCCTTGGGCCTTGGGTGGTGCCACTTACAAAAGCGGTTTTTCGGAAGCTTCGGTACGGACGAACTTCTATCCAAACCCACAGTGCGAGATTGTGGCTTGTGGAAATCCTTCCGGAGTTGGTGTTTGGACGCAAAGCCTGGTTACCCTATAACTCAATTTGCACTGCGGCATTTTTACCAACAACTGACGGTGTGTTGCACATGTTCTGTTTCGTGACCTCATCCCTTTCCCTTTACACCTCAGACCTTGATGGCTCCGCGGTTAGTTGCCACCAAGATCTGTTGAGCCGGCAAAGCGCAGTAGTACCACATGTCGACAGCGCACTCACGAGCATGCACATGTGCATGCTCAGGCGTGTACTTCTCAAGTCAAGAGTTTTCAACTGTTCCCAGGTGTACATCCTGCAAGCACGACCCATATGCACAGAATCCCCATGGCACATTTTTCCATCTGTGTACATCGCAACAAATCCCCTTCTTTGCGCGGCAGTCACTGACAGCGTCTTGATTGCCTGCGGGCAGATTCTGACTGCAGGGATGACATCACGACAGCAGCCTTCTGGCTGCTTGGACCCCAACTGAGCTTCCACTGCAGTGCTGTCGTTCCGTCTCAAGGACACCCAAGCTGAGATATGACATGAGACTTCAAACCACTGGGACCGAAAAACGGTGTTTGGACATGTCTCAACCACTGGTCCTCAGTACGGCTGGAATCGGTTCTCACCGCCGCCATCTTTTACCGGACCACTTCCGCCTTTCAGTCGCTCCGGCAACATATGTCCGAGAGTGATGCACAGCTAAGCAAACATGAGAGGGGACTGGCTCCACTTGGTTTACGGCACGCGTCACTGTGAGGTCTGGGCCGGGCATGAACCCCTCAAGAATCACCACGCCTGCGGCCTCCTGCTCAGGAGCTCCTGCTGCACCTGCATGTTTCGACCGCTTCGGAAGGAGGTTTCTTTCAAGGTGGACATGTACAGTGACGGAGTGCTACGTCCCCTTGCCAAAGTCGCGCCCTCCTTTGTGGAAGCACCAGATTCTCCGTGCCAAATCCAACAGCAAACTTTCTCAAAACTTACCACCTGCAGATCCTCTCAGGACTTGGTTTCAACTTTGACACGACCGCAATTCACGAAACTCAGGGAATTAGCACAGGAGCATCGAATGCTGGCAGGCGATGTCGGGCAGCCTAGTGGCACAACCTCCCTGTCACATGCAGGAAATGTGCTAAATGCAAGAAACAAGCTCTGCTGCACATCCTGTGTACATGTTGTAGTGTTCTATATTGCTCATCACTCTCTTATATACATTTCCGACCACAGCCTCCGCCGTCGGCAGCAGAAGCCATGGGCGCGGGCGCGCCTTGAGACAGCACAAACGATGTCAACGCACTTGGTGCGGCCTATCTTGTTCCGATGCATGCCCGTATCAAAAACTATTTTTGCTGGGCGGGTATGCCGGGTATGCTGTGCCGCGGTCTTGCAGTTGCCTTCATCCTTGAAACTACCGAGTCGGCCTGCCATGTTTGGCATGGTAGGCATGCAGCCAGGCATGCATGGCATGCAGCCACAGCAGCCACCGCAGGGACAGCAACCGCCACAACCTCAATATGCGTGATTGAACGGAATTTACGCAGGACTGCACATAGGCACAGAGGTGAGACGTCAGCGTTGCAAAGGTCTTGATGATAATTTCGTGGCGTTTCGCCTCCCCTTCCGTTTGAATTAGGATGCAACCTGGCCTGGCATGCAGGCCCCGCAGCAGCCAGGCATGCATCCCGGCATGCAGCCACAGCCACCTGAAGCAGTCGAATATGCGCTTTTGCCAATTCGGAAGATGGAAGAAGCCAACTTCCCCTGCCTGGTAGAGTTGCTCCTGGTGGGGCCCCTGTGCTGGGTGCTCCGGCAGAGGGAGCTCCGTCAGGGCTGGCGCCCGCATCTTCCGAGGGCTGGGCTCCTCCTGGAGCGCCGTTGGCTCCGACCGGGGGCATACCGGGGCCACAGCCCGGACAGCCACCGCAGCAGCCACACCCGGGCATCATCATAGGCCTTGCACCCATCATCATAGGATTCATCTGCATCATCGGATTCATCATCATCGCCATCATGGGGTTCATCATCATGGCCATCATGGGGTTCATCTGGCCAGAATCTTTGTCCTTGCCGTCTTCACCATCCTCGTCTGCCCCTCGCAGTGAAGCTGCCTGCAGCAGATACTTCTCGGACCACTTTTCCTCGTAATCGTCCTTAGGGGAAATTGTGCAGGCAGACGCAGGAGCGATCAGGATGGGCAAACCATGATCCCTTTAAGATCATCAAATCTCGTCCTGACCTCAAGCCGCTGCAAGCAGTTTGGGCTACTGTAACAGGTGGCTGACCCCGTTGCTGTGAAGAGCTGTCGGATTAACAACAAGCTCATGTCCAATCCTCCATCGACGGTGCTTCAGCCTCCTTCTTCTCCTGATCGGCAGCAGCTTCCAACGATTGCGAGCTTGACTGAGGCCACCGCACGAAGTGTCATCCATCCTCATAACATGTTGCCACGTATGCAGCTTGAGGCATCCAACACAGAGGTGTCCAACGACAGTCAGCTGGCTGTTGTCTAGATGGGTCTCGTCACAGTCTGCATCAATGAGCGAAGATACTTGGAGAACGCTAAAAGGCAGCAGTGCGTTTGCTGATCGAGTGCAAGGACCACAGGGGCCATGTCTGCATGCGGAGTGCAGGCCTTCTCTCTCACAACTTGCATCTTTTCTCTTTCGGCATGCTGCGCCGCTTGAAATGCAGAACCTCCGTGAGGGCGAACTGCGACCCACCTCAGCTCGGACAGCACCGCTACTCCGAGTTCGGAGAACGCGATATCGCAATGGTTGTGCTACGCAAACCGACAGCCGAATAAAATCAGACACTTAGTAGCGGCGATAGTCGTGCTGATCCCAACTGCGTCATCACCATCAGTTCTTCCGTCACCATCACCATGGCCATTGGGGACATTGTTAGATAATCGGCCGCCTCTAGGTTGGAATCTACGAGCTGCCTCAAGTCGACTGGCCGAGAACCGAGTATCCACCTGAAAGGCTTGACGTCTGATTACGCTACGACTCCTGTCGCTGCACATCATTGATAGCCAAGGCTGCTTGCCAGGGCACTTGTTGTCAATCATATGATTGGCTTTCGCTTCCACGGCTTTGTCAACTGACTCCTCGCAAGGGATGCTGCACCAGTACCGCATCCGACTTTGCATCAGGTCAAGCCCAAGGCCCGACCCCAGCATTCCTCTTTCTCCGGCACATGTGTCTCCTTGTCTGTGAACTTTACAAACGCGAACCCACGCGATGTGCCATCTGGCAGGCGCTTTATGTCAACGCTGTCCACCTGCCAGGGCCGAGGAAGGGACGTTCCAAGAGACCCAAACAGGAGTTTGCAGCTCTGCATTTGCACAACGCCAGGAGGTGCAGAATCAGCAGAGCTTTCCTCCCAATGAACAATTGCTACGTGCCACAGCATGCCGCCTGACCATACTTCGCGAAATGGGCGGCTACCTGCCGAGATGTTTTGACTGGGTCGGGGGAGATCTTTGGAGTTGCCAAGCTCCGGCTCCCTGCCCAGGAGCACCCTGGGCCTTGTCTTCACTAGTGCTTTTCCGCAAACCGCCGACGAAGACCGTGGTTACCTCCAGTCAAAGGGACACCCCTTTGCGCATGCGAAGTTCTACAAGCATGGCACAGCTGACATCTCTTCTCGGCCAGGCAGCCTTGTCTTCACTAACGCCCTTAGGTCTCAGACCTCCAGCCTGCACAGGTAAGCTTCAGGATTTTAAGTTCGAAGAACGAGGACAGCAGAACAGCTGAGCAGGATGGTCAGGGCACAGACTACGATCCTTGAGGCATGATGGGCTCTTTCCACTGAGAGAGTCGCACCTCCTACTTAATTAGAGAGGGTGATCGGGCTTAGCCTGCAAAACCTGGCCCAGTCGGTCTGGAAACTAGGAGTGCGTCGGGCCTTTCGCAACTCGAAAAGTCCAGGCGAGACTTATGCAGGGCAGAATCAGCTGCTGAAGGGATGCTCCCAAGCTACCCTCAGCTGGAAGAACAGCAGCTAACAGCTAACACAAGTCCATCCGGCTGCTGGATCGCCTGTGCCCGAGTACCGTCCAGGGTTAAGGATCATGCAGACAGATGTGAGCCCTGCGTCACCGTTACAGGACGCAGGTCTGAATAAGTCATAAGTACATAGTTACATAGATGTACAACCAAGTATACAGATTGTCTGCTTATTTTGGTGGTGGATGATGTCCTTCTTGTCACCAACCGTAATTCAGCGGGTCTGCTATTCATGTCCAGTCTGTTTTCATTACATGCTTGTCAGCGGCGGCTTGCAACTCAACTCATGCGTGCGGACCAGACGTCCAAATGTGAGCTGTGCCATCCTGACTTTGTAATCCAACTTGCGACTCCGGCAGACATTGGAATTTGTGCTCAACAGCGAAGCATGACTTAAACACCTCAGTTCGAACAGCAAAGATCCAATCCACTCTCATACTAAAGCAAAGCTACCTGACCACCCTGTCCATGACGACGGAAGAAATCGCAACTCACAAACGCAGTAATCTGGATTTCATTCCCGATTGACCCAGTCCGAACGCTGCCTGTTTCATCCGATCTGCATCTCCTCCAGACACTGTGTCTGTGGCTCTGCGACGCAGACACTTTGCCCCAGCATGGGCAAGGCTGGAGCAAGGCGTGAAAACACCGAAGGACACCGGCGTGGCCTTGAGGGAATGGCGTGCCGTATCCCGGCACCGGTTGCATGGCCTCGGCTCAGACTTTCAGCAGCAACGACGCTTATCTGAGGGATCCCGAGAAGGTTTGGGAAACGGATAAACCCAAACTTTATTGCGTCGGCCCTGGGTGACACCGGAACTGCAACTCCCGGATAATAAATGCGGACGGTGTGGCCTCGGCTTTCTGCCGGGCATGCCGGAAAGATTGAGAAAGACACGACCGAAACTTCTCCAGCTAGGAGTTCCAAAGCTCAAGGGCTTCGACTCTCAAGAACTAATCTTTCCATTAGCTGTGGGGTTTGTGAAGTTTGAGGTCGGAGACCAAATGGGGCCTGCGCGTGGCTTCTGCGCCACTGATTTCACACCTCCCGAGCCCCTCACAGGTACTCACCGACCCGAGATGTCCTGCCATTCGTCTGCAAGCTTCCGGCTCATGTGCTTGAAAACCCTAGGCTATGCATGCGCCAAGTGGCCCCAGGCATCATCGGCATGCCCATGCCCGGGTTCATTGCTGGCAAATTAGCTCGCTGTGCCAGCTTGGATTGGCTCAGACGAAATGCATGGGTGAGCTTTTGCCAGACCTTGAAGACTAAGCTTTGAAGTCTTGGCAGGAGCTATGTAGACTCGGTGACAGGTGTCACAACTATCATGGTGTATGCATGCTTGGGCGAGGCATGCCCACGTCGTCCTCGCACTGGCGTGGGCAGCCTTACCGACAGAAGCCAGGAGCCATCACGGCAAATGAAAGCAGGAAGACCATGGAAAACGAGGTCTGAATCCATCCCACGGTAGGACATGCACCCATGTCTACACGACCTATTGCAAGCCCTTGCCCTGTGCCTCCCCCAACCACGACACCAAGTTTTGCACTACACT